ATTTTTTGTCTTGCTGGTAATAGCCATTCTAGGAGAGATAATATTTCATTGTAGTTTTAATTTGCATTTCCCTGATGATTGGTGGTGTTGAACATTTTTTCATGTGCTTGTTGGCCATTTTTATGTCTTCTTTTGAGAACTGCCCATTCAATTCCTTTGCCTATTTTTTAATTTGGTTGTTTGGGGGTTTTTGCTATTGAATTGTTTGAGTTCCTTATACATTCTGGATAGCAGCCCCTTGTCTTATGTGTAGTTTGCAAACACTTTCTTCCATTCTCTAGATTGTCTCTTCTCTTTGTTGATAATGTCTCTTGCTGTGTTGAAGTTTGATGTAGTCCTATTTGTGTATTTTTGCTTTAATTGTCTGTGCATTTGTAGTCTCACTCAAGAAAGCACTGCCCACTCCCATTTTATGTTTGCATTTCCCCTGTGTTTTCTTCTAGTAGTTTCATAGTTCAGGGTCTTAAATTTATATCTTTGATCCATTTAGAGTTGATTTTTGTTTATGGTGAGAGATAGGAGTCTAGCTTTTATGGATATCCTAGCACAATTTATTGAGGAGGCTGTCCTTTTCCACACTGTGTATTCTTGGCACCTTTGTCAGAAATCAGTTGGCTATAAGTGCATGAGTTTGTTTCTAGGCTCTTGATTTTGTCCCATTTGTCTGTTTTTATGCCAGTAGCATGCTGTTTTGGTTACTGTAGCTGCATAGTATATTTTGAAGTCAGGAAGTGTGATTCCTTCAACTTTGTTCCTTTTGTTCAAGATTCCTTTAGCTGTACAGGGTCTTTTGTGGTTCCATACAAACTTTAACTGTTTTTTCTATTTCTGTGAAGAATGTCATTTTGATAGAGATTGCATTGAATGTGTAGATTGCTTTGGGAAATATGGACATTTTGGTTATGTTAATTCTTCCAACCCATGAACATGGGATATCTTTCCATTTATTTGTGTTCTCTTCAATTTTTTTACCAATGTTTTATAGTTTTCATTATAGAGGTCTTTCACCTCCTTGGTTAAGTTTATTACTTGCTATTTCATTTTTTGGTAGCTATTGTGAATGGGATTATTTTCTTGATTTCTTCTTTGGCTGTTTGGTAATTGGCATATAGGAAGGATATTGACCATTTCCATTCACTGCTTTATTTTCCTCTATGTGGGCCATTCTTTTCTGTTTCTTGGTGTATCTCATAATTTTGTTCAAAACCAAACATTTTAAATAACATGTATTAACTCTGGAAACCAGACTCTTCCTCTCAAGGTTTTTCTACTGTTGCTGTTGGATTGTCCAGTGATTTTCCCAGGCTAATTATGTGAAGTCTGTATTCTTTGTTACAGGTGACTCTGAGTGGTCAGCTAATGATTGGACAGAGATCGCCTCAAATGCCTGGATCAGTAAATTTCCCAGCCTTGCTGAGGGGCTCTGTGTGTGTGGCACATCTCCACATCCTGGCAGTTCACATAACATAACATAAAATTCATCATCTTAATCTTTTTCAAGTGTCCAGTCCGGTAGAGTTAAGTACATTCACACTGTTGTGCTCCATCACCACCATCCCTCTCCAGAGCTCTTTCATCTTGCAAAACTGAAACTCTGTCCCCATCAAATACCAACTGCCCATTCCCCCTGAGACCTGGACCCCGGCAACCACCATTCTAACTTCTTTATGATTTTGAGTACTCTAGGTAACTCGTATAAGTGGAATCATTCAGTATTTGTGTTTCTGTGACTTGACTGATGTATTTCACTCACCATAACATCCTCAGCGTTCATCCGTGTTATAGTATGTGTCAGAATGTCCTTCCTTTTTAAGGTTGAATAATATTCCATTGTATGTATGTATCACATTTTGCTTATTCAGTCATCCATGGACGGACACCTGGGTTGCTTCCATGTTTTAGCTATTGTGAATAATGCTGCTACAAACATGGGTGTACAGATATATCTTTGAGACCCTGCATTCAATTCTTTGGGGTGTATACCCAGAAGTGGAATTGCTGGCTCATATGGTAATCCTATTTTTAATTTTTGAGGACCATCATACTGTTTCCATAGCAGCTGCACCTTTTCACATTCCCACCAGTGGTGTGGTTTCTCCACATCCTCATCAGCACTTAGTATTTTCAGTTTTGTCTGTTTTGGGGGGTATTTTTTTTATTTTTTTCAATAGAAGCACCCTAATGGTTGTGAGGCCTCAGAATTTACTCTAATGTGTTTGTCCTGTTCTTGTTGTCCCACCTGGGCAACCATGCCTGAGGCACTTTCACAGTGATCCCTAAACCCTAATGCAGCAGTCTTCAGGTATCTAAAATAATTTTAAGAACTACAGCTGTAAAGGGGATAATGTATTTTTAAGTTAGCATCTAAGTTTTCTTATAAGAAATATAAAATAGTTGCAAAGGATATCATTTCCAGCATGTTGTAAAAATTTCATTTAAAAATAAAACTTTTATCATATGATCTTTAAGTGTTAAACAGTTGCTGCTGATTGTTCTCAACAAATGCCCTAGGGAGAGGGCTTTTCTCACTGAGTGAGCTGACTCAGGGCGTATCAAAACCCTGTAAGTGGAGCTTTTCCCATAGTTGCAAGACAGGTCTGACAAGGACAGTTCTCCGGGTGTGGGGCTTTGGGGACCTCAACACTGCTGCCCCCCTCAGGCTTTTAGGCTGCTGGTGTTTACAGCTACTGTAAGGCTGCTCATTTTCAAAGCTGAGGACAGTGGATAGGAAGTTCAAACACCACAAAGTGTGCTATTCTTACTGAGATTCTGCTGTTTTTTCTGGAATAAACACTCCTTGGATTGTTGCAAGCCATTGGTTAATTTCCAGAGTTCTCCAAAAGTTGATTTTTACCATTTTTGCATTTTCTCATTGCTTTTATGGGTGAGCAAATTTTTGCAAGTCCTTACTCCTTAATTCTGAAAGTGCTTCAGGATTAACTCTTAAAACAGCAGTTCCCTACTACATTTCCCAAGCACTTAGCTTTCTTGCGTTTTTACCATCTCTTTGTCTCCTTGTTCTTGACCGCGAACTTTATCAGTACTATAGCTTACTCAGTGCTCACCACTTTTATAGCAACTGGCTTGTAGGTACTGTTCATACAGCAGGAACTTCTCAGGAGAAGCAGAGTCAAAACTGTGGTGAGAAGTTAGGCAGATAGACAGCCAGCCAGATAGACAATAGGTAGAGATGACAGACAGGTGAGAAGTTAGGCAGATTAATCAGTTAACCTGCAAATCCGTCAATCCATTAATCCATGAATGGATTCATCCACTCACAAGGACAGAGCCTTCATGGTCCAATCGCTTCTTAAAGGCCCCACCTCTCAACACAGCCACATTGGGGATTAAGTTCCACCATGAGCCTCGGAGGGGACAAACAACATTCAAACCATAGCACCCCCTCAAAGAATTTTGAAAAACTACCACTGTAAAAGGGATAACAAATATTTAAGCTGGTATCTAAGTTTTTTGTAGTAAGTATAAATAGTGGCAGAGGGTATAATTTCCAGCATGCTGTAAATATTTCGTTTAAAAATAAAGCTTTTAGCACATGGTCTTTAAATATAGCCAATGAAACCTAAATGCTGCAGTGATTTGATATTATCACCGTGCATTTTAAATAGGATGAGTGAGCTTCTTTTAATGATCAGAAATTTTACATTGTTCCTTTTTCTCTTTGATGTCGTCTTTCCATTACTCTGCCAAGAGATTTTGTCATAATATTTTATACTAATAATATATGCTTATTTACCATGCCAATCTTCTCTGCAACAAAAATATGTATATAAACTGAAGTTTAAAAGTTTTTTTCTTTTTGCCACAAGGCTCTATTTGTTAAAATATTTCTAAGTTGTTTAATGGTACAGAATTTTAGTTTGCAAGATGAAAAGAGGTCTAGGGATTGAATGCACAACAGAGTGAATATAAATAACACTCCTGAACTGCATGCCTGAAAATGGCTAAGATGGTGAATTTTGTGTTATGTGCATTTTACCACAATTATAAATAATATAAATAAATAGATTTTTTACAGTAAAAATAAATTCTATATTGAGCTGTTACAATTATTATCAAATCACAATTGAAACATATTTTGTGGAATTTGATAATTATTAGCCATCCAAAGTAGACATTTCAAAACCCTTCATTTAATGGAAAGTGTCTGTTGCTGAATGAGGCAGAGGCAGCATCAGTTCTGCTGATGCTTTTCTTTGTCACAGATGTCAACACTGCTGCGAATCTTTGTTTACATAAACAAGTAGATAGAGGGAAAGGCATCTAGGTATGGGTCAGTTCTTTGAACTCTCCCCAGGTCATGTGCCAAAAAATACATAATCATAGACTGGTCTATCATTAAAATTATTTTGATAATTGGCCGACAATTTAATTAGGACAGTTTTTGATTTTGTTGAAAGTGAGGAATTGGAAACCACTGACTGGCAAGATTTATTGCCTGGTCATTAGAGCCATTCACCTTTTCAATTTCTGTTAAGTAACTAAATAATGGCTTTACCAAGAATTCTATGACAGTGATTACACCTGCTAATTCCTTCATTTCGTGGCACCTTGTTTAATTTGATATAATGGGGAAATAAAAGTATTAATTTAGCACTCCATACCAATATGATTTTTAAATTAAATGCTTTTATTATATCACATTTCACAACTCTTTTTGTCAAAACTTGGGAGCTCATTCAATGTATGGAGCATGATCACAACGTAGCTGGGTTGGCAAAGCCAGCCTCATCATCCGACACAAATCAGACCTGTTTTCTCTCAGGAAGAAGTCTGAACTCATTTTTCATTTTAAATTAACATGTTAAGACGTATTTTGAGGAAAATTATTGAAAGTACTGAGAAATAAATTGAGATGCATCCTAGATTAGTTGCTAAATGCAGTTAAAATTAAAACACTGTAGAAATACGTGTTTAATGTGTGCTGTCTCTCAGTATTTAGATGGTGGTGACATCGCATGATAAGTCACATGGTGTACAGGATGAGGCAAGGCCTGGTGTTCTGGGTGAACGTGAGCATGTGTCCCATTGGCATGGGGTGGGGGTGGGAGGCAGTCCTTGAAGAATTATGTATGAAAGTACTGATAAAAACCAATTGCTTTGGAATTTAGCATATATTAGCTATATGAGATGGGAAAGATGAACGTTTTGTGATTTGATTGGAAAACTGAATCTGAAAGAAATCACATAGAATTATGTTATAGGCTTTATCTCTTGTGTCTTAAAGTTTTGCAGCCCCTGTGTGTGAGGAAATGCATTGATGTGCTGTGCCACTGGGGTGCATCCTTGGGTGAAGCACTGAGAAGAAATGTCATGTTTATCTGTGAACAATGGGGTGAGGGGTTTGAAGGTGGGCCCTGCTCTGCACCTCAGACAGCAGCAGGGGATGGCGCAGAGCCCTTCCTTCTGCCCCTTCTAGGGTCCAGCCACATCAGAGCACATGACTGTGGCCAGACACCAGGTTCTGGGGTCATGCTTCTTACCTTACTGAATATGGGGAAGGTGGGTTTTAGGGGTTTTCATTAGTCATTGAATGTGTCTTTTCTCAAACCAGTATTTTGAATTATCCCATTGTTGGGTGCCTAGAGTTTTTATTACCAGGGGCAGTGCAGGGTGGGTGAGACGTTTGTTCTGTTTTGGGTATCCTGGGGGAAGTGCTTTTTGAAAGGGAGGCAGGAAAGGAGACTGGTTCTCAGACAAATCAATTTTCACAAAGAGGATCCCAGGAAATTGAGAGCTGGTGGCTGATCCCCTTAAAACTAGTGGTTCTTTGTGTGTGTGCCCCAAACCAATTGCATCAGTTTCTTCTGAGAATGGTTTAAAATGCAGATTCTTGGGCTGTACCCCAGAACAGCCAAATCCAGAACTCTGGGGGTCCTGCCTGTATGATTTGAAATGATTCGCCCTTGATTAGTTGATGTCTCCATGATATAATGACTACTTTTGTGTAAACATTAGATGTTTAATTTTTGTATATTTTGAAACCAATATAGTTTTCAATTATATTGAAGAGCAAAGGAATAAAGATCACTATTGCCAAGTGAGGAACATCAGTCCTAAGCCAGAATCCTCAGGCTTACAAACAACAGTGAGCCCTATAGGAGGTGAGCTAGGCTCCTCTCCTGCAGGAGCTCCACGGGCATCTGGGATGGGGACCCAGCCTGCTGGCAAAGAGGTTGGTCCCTGGACATTTCACAGAGTCTGGCCACCAATTATACTTCCAGAGGAGGGTGTAGATGCACCTTTTGGAGAAAGACCAGCTTTGTCTTTTTGGCAGCACCAGAACCCACCATCCTGTCTCTCTGGATTTATGAAGCAGGTTTTTTTTTTTTTTCCTTTTTGTCTTTTTTCGTGCCCGGCAACGGATCGCAACCCTCAGATTATTCCTACACCCGAGCTCCACGGCCTGTCCTATTCTGTTTCCAGGACAACAGTCAGTGTGGACGAGGGAGCTGCCCCCTGGCCACTGCTATTTTCATTTCTTTAAGGACCCTTTTTCTGCCTGGTAATTTCTCATTGTCATTAGTCACCATGTCCCCAGGGCCTCGTGGAGGCTTGGGAAACACTTGTTTATTAAGTGCACCAACTGCATCTAATGTCTGGGCCCTCTCCCTGGTGTGTATTTACATCCCTGTCTTTTGCTTTATAGTTTGGGGCTGAATTCCGAAGGTTCTCCTTGGACCGTCACAAGCCTGGGAAATTTGAGGATTTCTACAAGCTGGTGGTGCACACCCACCACATCTCCAACACGGAAGTGACCATCGGCTACGCGGACGTGCACGGGGACCTGCTGCCCATCAACAACGATGACAACTTCTGTAAGGCGGTCTCCAGCGCAAATCCCCTGCTCAGGGTCTTCATCCAGAAACGAGGTACCCGGAAAGCTGAACTGCTGACCTTGTTTGGCAGTCGTTTAAAAAATAAATAGTTTTTAATTTTGTCTGTCATGTGGACCATGTGATTCTATTTTTTAGTCTTTAGTGGGAGATTAAAGAAATTAACTTTGTTTTGTCAACAGGCTTAAAAATACTTAAACTGCATTTTCCACCTCAAATAGTGTTGACTTGTCTTTTAAATACTGAAGAGTTACCAGAGTTGGGGAAGGGGGTGTGGGGGGTGGGGTAAGGGAGGAATTGGTAAAGTGTCATGAAAAACGATTACACTGTATAATGCTGAACTTTAAAATAAAGCATTAAAAAAAAAATACTGAGGAAAAAATAACATGAATACTTCCAGTATTTTAACTGGAAGCAAGCGAATTCAGTAATGAAGAGGCATTAGTCAGTAGCCTAAAAATGAAAGGAGGTAACTACTATGTATTTTCCACTGTCTTTTTAGGATTGGGAAAAAATGTTAGCTTTGAAATTATAACTTTGATTAGCTTTTAACTCTGAAGGCCTAACTTTGCTAAAAGTAGTAGCAGTGTCATTTTATGTGAAAATAAATGACTAACACGGGTTCGTGGAAGGGAGGGGCACACTGCTGCGGGACCTCGTGCTGCTCAAATTCCAGTACGACGTTTTAGACTAGATTTTTTTTTTTTTTCTTATCTGTAAACTTAAATATGCTGAAGGGGAAAACCACCTGCAGGTGAGGCTCAATGCCGGGAAAATGGTGTTTCTACCACTGGTTTGGTCGTGATGTCCCTCCCGCTGGGGCGGACTGGTCGGGGAGTCTCTGCGTTCGTGAAGGCTCTGTTGGGGACACCTGAGCAGGGACTGGGGGAGCAGCCCGGCTGCCGGGCGACAGGCGCGAGAGCCCAGACCTGGGTCTGTGTGATGCGGGTACCGACAGCACCGCCACCGAGGCTGCGCCGCGGGGCCCGCACGACAGTCCCGCTTGGTCAGCACCAGCTGACCTCTCTGTCCCCGCCATGCGGGCGCCGGAGAGCGGCGGGAGACCCGGTGACCTCGCTTTGGACTGAGTCTCCGGCCCGAGGCAGAACACGCGGCTTCTGCAGGCCCTGCTGAGCGCGGCGTCCTGCTGATGGCCCCAGAAGGCAGCACAGCTGTCGCTCACTGCCAGGCCGGGGACGTCACCAGGCCCCGGGACGCACGTGGCTCAGCGCAGCCTCTGGAGCCGCTGCTCCGTTCTCTGCCTGCTTCCCGCTGAGTGGCCGCTCGGCCACTGTCCTTGGGTCCTGGGACGTCGCCGGTAACCTGTGCCCCGCGTCCCTGCACGGCCCCTCAAAGGCGGGCCTCAGGCTGCTTTGCAGACCCAGCCCGTGTTCCCTGCCGCGTTCTCCACCCCTGTTCTGCTTTCTCCGTGTCACTAGTGGCCCTCAGGGCTGGCTCTGTCGGTCCTCAACCCGCCGCGAGCACGGGCGGCCAACCTGGTAGCGCCCCCGTTAGGGCCAGTGTGTTCGGCGCGAAGATACGTGTGACCCACCTGGGAAGCCAGCCGCACAGCGTGGGTCCGGGGAGACCTGCGCTCAGGCCCGCCCACCCTGCTGGCTCTGTGACATCCGTCGTTCCTGCTGTAATGCTGAGCTCCGGTGTCCTCGTCTGCACTGGGTAACGGCGCCTCCGTCTTAGGTTGTTGTCGGGGTCAAACAGGAAAACACGCCAGTGTCCACAAGCCCTCGCTGGTCCTGCGGGCCCTGTCCGGGTCCCCGATCCCTGGGCTGGGTCAATCGGAGCTTTCTTCTCGCTGCCCTCAGGGTCCCTGATGTGAAGACCGCGAGTCTGGGGCAATTGTGCATCAGTGGAGGGTCAGGCGCTTGCCGAGTTTAGAGCAGACCTGCTAATCCGTGTGGAAGGCGGTGTCCTTGTGAAGATCCACGCATCTGCTGAGGTTAGGGCAGAGCTGGAGACCTCGGGAGTTGACACAGTCCCGCCACCTTTTTACTGCGGCAGGGGCTTCGAGGTGTCAGTCCCTGTTCTGCCGTTTTCATGATTCCGCCACCCCCGCTCTGTCATTTGCTTGATAACTTTCTGCACACCGATGTATATCTTATATGTATTTTAAGAGGAAACTTACTGTCACACATGAAAAGTCAGCATTCGTCTAATACATGTTGAGATAAGCCCACAACTATGTTTTAAAAAGTTAATCTGTCACTTAAAATGATCTCTTCCCCTAAACCGCTCAAGGACATGACAAACTACAGACCAGCATCCCTTATAAATGGAAATATAAACCCCCCCCAGCGAAATACTAGCATATGGAACACATGCGTCCACACAAAAATTTGTAAACCAATGTTCATAGCAGCATTATTCGCAATAGCCAAAAGTGGAAACAGGCCAAATGTCCATCAGCTGATGAATGGATAAACAAGGTGTATATATTCATACAATGAGATATTACTCGGCCATAAAAAGAAATGAAGTACTGACACATGAAACAGGGAGATGAATCTCCAAAATATTATGAAAGAAGTGAAAGAAGCCAGGCACAAAAGGTCACATATTGTATGATGACTTTTACATTTGGTACTCTTTATTCACAGGTTCTGTATTGATGACACTGTTGTGACCTAACCCTGTATTTCCCCAAGAGCAATGGTTCTGTCTTCACCAATTCAGTGCTCATGGCCATTTTATAGAAACACCACGAATAACAAGAATCGACTGTGTGTGAAAAAGTCCAGTATAGGCAAATTTATAGAGACAAAAGGCAGATTCATGTTTACCAGGGGCTGGGGGTGGGTGAGTGGGCAGGGATTGGAAGGTATGGCAGTTTGGGGGGGTGGGGGCTATAGAAATGTTCTGTAACTAGAGATCTCTGTAAATACTAACAACTGTTGAATTATACGATTTAAATGGGTGAACTTTATGTAAATTATATCTCAATAAAGCTGTTAAAAAGTAAAATGCACTTTGCCAGGACTGGCCTACTGATGAGCAGGATTCAAAACAGATTCTCCTGAGTCTGAGCTACAGCCCTGGGAAAGGATTTCTGGGTTTGTCTCAAGCCTTTATTTCTAAAATTTAGCAATCCTCAATATGTGTGAGTACTTTGACTTTTTAATTAACATATTTTTTCAAAGTTTTGAAAAAATCCTCTCTTTGGTTATAGGAAACTTCCTGTACTTCTATGAGAGGGCCCTGGGTGTGAGCAGCCCCAGGTGGGGCGTAGGAACCTGGCATCCTGAGCTGGCCTCTCTTGTCCTCATTAGGAAGACAGACAGCACAGCCTGTGGGATTAGCTGGACCTGTCACTTTGTTGCCGATAGAAATCAAAGATATTTTTACCTCACATAATAGTTATATCCAGACATCCTAAATATCGTGTACAGTAGTCATCATTCAGCACATTAATAAGAAAGCACATATAGGATTATATCACACATTTGCTTTAGTATTCTGATAATTGTCTCCAAAGTAATTTATTTCCTTTGTAATCCCTGTGTTTTATCTTATGCCTTTAAGAACATTATCCCAAGGAGGGGTTTGTTCCCAAGCATCATCAGATTGCTGAAGGGCTCTTGGCACATACAAGACTCAGAGCCCCGTTTGTGGAAAGGCTGCATTTGGGGCTCAGACAACAGGCCAGGAAAGACTTGGCTTTGATCTCCTGGGAACTAGTCAGGGGATGTTCTTTTGAGGACTACGTGGCATTTCTGCCCACAGGGGCCAGAGAATCAGGCCTCTGGCCTTGGCTCCCACTAGCTTCTTTCCTCTGTGTTTACTATGATTCTGCCATCATCTGTCCAGGACAACCATTAAAAGCTGTGGGCTTTTCCCTCGGGTAAAAACAGCTTCACTCTGCCCTTCCTTTTAATGCTTTGCCTGTTTACGTAAGAACAGTAGTTACCAAAGTGAAGTGGTTGTGGTGGGAGAGTCTGGACTCACATTTGCATGTTTGGGTTGCAAACCCAGTGAGTGTTAAGGACCCTCTTCTTTGTTCCCTTGTCCAAGGGTGCAGGAACGTTTGGGGAAGCTGGCCTTAGCCAGAGAACACAGGACCAAAACCAGCAAAAGATACTTGCACTATCTTTTTCTATTTTTAGCAGAGTAAACAGGAAGTGCAAACAGTAACTTTTCAGCACTTATCCATCAACTAAACCCTTCAAATACCAGCATACTTGGTAGTCTTGTTACTTACCTCCCGGCCCCAGCCCAGGATGAGAGGTGGAATCATCCCTCTGAAGGGAGGGACATACTTTCCCAGGGTGTGTGACAAAGGCCAGGATCTCCTCCTCAGGGAGTGTGAAGACTCAATGACACAGAGATTTCCAGCACAGAGTACTCTGACCTATTTAATTTTAAAGTAAACATAAATATTGTACATTTGTTTGTATCTGTTAACTGTTCTTGGCATTCTGGGCATCCTTTTGGATTCCTAGAATAAAAACACATTTGTAAACTTTTTGGTTTATCAGAAGTTGCACGATGGGATATATTGCTTGTGATTTCACTCAACTGAATTGCTAGAAAAAGTAAGTAAGGGACATGCTTCAAAGTAAAACAAATAGAATGATTGAGAATTTGGTCGTGGACACTGGCAGAATTTTTAAGTATTGAGTATATAAATCCTACTTATAATTGCTTTTCTTGGATTCTTATGTTAGTAGCTGGAGGTGTGTTTGGTGTTTAAATTGGGGGTTCACTGCTTAGCAGAAAGCACCCAGGTTAGCTGTCAGAACAGAATTTCTGTATTCTCCTCTCTGTTTTATTCTCTTTCGTTGGACACTGCCTAGGGTTTTGAGGTTGTATGTGTTGGGGGCAGGGGAGAGGTGTATCTTTCCCAAATTCACCTCATTTATGTCCCTGTGCTTAGGACCTAGCCTTTAACACCCCTCTGGTATGGGAGCTGTTCCCTGGGACACATTTGCTTCTTTAATTGCAATAGACTTCTGGAAGTTTGTATGTTTGGAGGATTTCCTTTTTTTCTTCATAATTTTTAATTCAAAAAAAGGCAAAGAGTCTCTCACTGCTCTTTGTGGGAACATGAAGAAAACACAGGTGGCCACTCTCACCATGGAGTGGGAGTGCATG